ATTTGGGGGAGATTTGGGGGGGTCTTGAGGGGGTTTTGGGGGTCCTGGGGGGATTTAGGGGGGTCCTGGAGGGAATTTGGGGGAGATTTGGGGGGTCCTGGAGGCGTTTGGGGGGGTCCTTGAGGGGTTTTGGGGAGAATTTGGGGGGTCCTGAGGGGGTTTGAGGGGTCCTGGAGGGGTTTTGGGGGGTCCTGAGGGGATTTTGGGGCGATTTTGGGGGGTCCTGGGCTGATTTTGGGGGGTCCTGGGTGGATTTTGGGGCGATTTTGGGGGTCCCGGATGGATTTTGGGGTCTTTTTGGGGTGTTGGGGGAGGGGCGATGTCCCCCCAAAATCTCGGGGGTGTCACCACGTGGCGACCGCGGCGTTTCCATGGCAACGCGCGGGGGAGGGGACAGCGCACGTGGGGGGAGGGGGAGCCCAAAATCCCGCCCCAAAATCCCCCAAAATCCGCCCTGGAAATTCCCGAATCCCAAAATCTGCCCTAAAAACCCCCAAATTCACCCCAAATCTGCCCTAAAAACCCCAAAATCTGCCCTAAAACCCCCAAATTCTCCCCAAATCTGCCCTAAAAACCCCAAAATTTGCCCTAAAAACCCCCAAAATTCTCCCCAATTCTGCCCTAAAAATCCAAAATCTGCCCTAAAACCCCCAAATTCTCCCCAATTCTGCCCTAAAAATCCAAAATCTGCCCTAAAAACCCCAAAATTCTCCCCAAATCTGCCCTAAAAACCCCAAAATTTGCCCTAAAACCCCCAAAATTCTCCCCAAATCTGCCCTAAAAATCTAAAATCTTCCCCAAATCTGCCCTAAAAATCCAAAATCTGCCCTAAAAACCCCAAAATTCTCCCGAAATCTGCCCTAAAACCCCAAAATCTGCCCTAAAAACCCCAAAATTCTCCCGAAATCTGCCCTAAAACCCCAAATTCTCCCCAAATCTGCCCTAAAATCCCAAAATTCTCCCCAAATCTGCCCTAAAAACCCCAAAATCTGCCCTAAAAAACCCCAAATCCCCCCGAATTCGCCCTAAAAACTCAAAAATCTGCCCTAAAACCCCCAAAATCTGCCCTAAAAATCCCAAATTCTGCCCTAAAAACCTCCCAAAATCTCCCTTAAAACTCCCAAAAATCCCCAAAATCGCCCCAAAATCCCCAAATTCGCCCCCAAAACCCCAAAATTTGCCCTTAAAGCCTCAAAATGCCCCAAAATCCCCCAGAATTTGCCCTAAAATCCCCAAAATTTTGCCCAAAATCCCCAAAATTTGCCCTAAAATCCCTCAAATTTGCCCCCAAATCCCCCAAATTTGGCTCAAATCTCCCTCAAATCTTCCCGAAATGTCCAAAATTCACCCGAAACGCTCAAAATTCCCCCAAAATTCCTCAAATTCCCCCAAATTCTCCCTAAAATTCACCCGGATTCCCAAAATTCCCTCAAAATTCCCCCAAAATCGGCCCAGAGGCCTCAAAATCCGCCTGAATTCCCCTCAAAATCTCCCTGAAATTCCCCCAAAATCCACCCAAAATCCACCCAAAATCCCCCAAAATCCACCTGAACCCCTTAAAATTCCCAAAATTCCACAAAATTCCACAAAATTCCCAAAAATTCCCCTCAGGATTGGCCTGGACATCCCCAAAAAAAAAAAAGCCTTTCCGGGAATGCACCAAAATCGGCCTAAACCCCCTCAAAACTCACCTGAAACCCCCCCAAAAACCCATCCCCCACCCCAATTCCCTTTTTTACCCCCACATTCCCCTCAGAAATCCCGGAATTCCCAAAAAATTCCCACAAAATTCCCACAGAATTCCCAAAAAAAATCCCCCCGCAACCCCCCCCTCTCCGCTTCCCCCCCCCCCCCTCCCCCCATTCCCCC